TTTTTCCCACAGCAGTTGGGAAGGTCCCACATGGTCTCACGGTTTCATGGCACCCATAGAACTCACAGTTTCGCTATTGATTTTACCGTCGAAATATTTGTAGACTGGCAACACGATCAACTCTCCCCTATCCCACAGGAACAGTGTATTTCTGAAGCCCCTTTCTCTTCTCTGGGCCCCTGTATCTCAAGATTCCCTGCATGCGGCAGCGGCAGCTATGTAGTTGTTGGGAGAGCTGTAGAAAACATGTCTTTATCACTTTATACTTTCAACATCATGCTATGCCCAGGGGATAGCAAAACGATACTTAAGACCAAGGAGACTCTGTCTCTTCTATTAGCCTCATCTTTCCTCCACTTCTGTAATTTATTTTTTGTCCATTTCTCATACTTTTCATATACTATTTTGGCTCTTTCCCCCTATCTAGAATGTTTTCTCTTCCCTCCTCCTCTTTTCTCTCCCTGTCCCTCTACTCTTTGTGACTTAACCCAACAGTGACCCCGGGTGTGATTCCTCTGATCTCACTACCCACCTGATGCAGGTCACCTCCCTTTGCTGTGTGTTCCCCGAGAAACAGGCTTTCTTCAGGAGTTACGCCATGTTGGCGTTCTATATCCTTCTAGTACTTCAGCTGACTGAAAGCTCCAGGAGGAAGTCTTTCTCCACACAGCCCGGTTTTATTGATTGTTTATTGAACGAGCTGTCAGATCCAGGGCACACTGGTCGGGCAGTTAGTCCCAGAAGGAGAGCTACAAAATGTCAGGAAAGTTATGTGTGAGAAAAAAAAAAGTCTCACATTCCACAGGTTTTCAAAATTCCTACATTAGGTGAGCACACAGAGGGGGTCTTTTTCTTTACAGTTTCTATATTTTCTAGCAGAAAAGTGGCAAGGCTCTGAAGAAAGTGAGACTTGAGAGACATGAATTAGACTGGATGTCTTACTATTCGCTTGTAGAGAGCATAGCAGGAACTCTCAGTAGAGTAAGAGAAGCCAAACTTGGAGCCAGCTGACTGAGTGGGAGGCAAGGAAACGGCAGCGAGTACGGATTACCCCTGGCACGGGTGGGGGATAAAATGCACAGGAGAAATGAAACAACTGACTCAGAGAAGTAGCAGAATCGACAGAAGATGGCTTAGCTGAGTGGGAAACTACCATAGTGACGGCAGGAAAGACCTGAGAGATGAAGGAGAAGGCAGAGGGCAGCACGCAAACTCATGCAGGTGTGTGAGCAGCGAAGGAGGAGGGGCACGCTCTACAAATATCTGGTGAATTGGGAAGGGTCTAACTGAGAAGATATCAACCCCCTGGACGCGATCGTCTGATCGAGACACATCAGCAAGACTAGGAGCCTGTGAGAGCTCAGATCCCATCTCGAGGGATCCAAACAACCAGCTGCCAGGCGCTCACCTGCAGGCAGCAAAGTGTAGACACTGGAGACAGAGATATCAGGAACTAAGTTTTCAAAGGTGACATCCAATTTAAACAAATGCCAACCCAGGAACTAGAATTCAGCCCATTGATAAGCTCTTGATGACATGTGTCCACGTCAGAAAGTTTATATGGTATAGGTCGCTCTATTGATATGCAGCTTTTACCCATGTGGGATATACTGTTCAACTACTTTTAGGAAAGTCACAGATGTTTAGCCAAGATCGTAGACAACCTAGGAACACTTCAGTAACTCAATAGAAACTTCCCCAGACCCATACGGTAAACACCACTAGATTATTTCCTGTCTGTAGATGTGCCCAGTCTGAACCTTTGATGCATTCATGAAATGCTATGGGCTGTGTGTGTGTGTGTGTGTGTGTGTGTGTGTGTGTGTGTTTGTATAAGTGTTTATAATTGACTTTTGCCTTTTTGGGAAGCTGGTATTTATTTAAAGTAAAGAAACAGATATATCAAGGGTTTGGAAGACTTTGAAAGGAAAAGCCAGGTTGTGCCCAGGAGAGTGGAGGGTGGAAGACAGTTAGTGAGTAGGGAAGGAGAGCCGCAGCTGGGACAGAAAAGGAAATGTCTGAACTTGACCCTGCTTTTTTGTTTGCCGGTAAGAAAGCCCAGAAAGTCCGTGGTGATTTTCAAAATTAAATAAACTGCCAGCCACTAGCAGCTGGGACTGATTCCCAACCCAGTGGGATCTCGGGCCTCATGGATGCCCAAGCTCCTGCACGTGAGAGAGACACTGAGCACCTAAAAAGGCTGCTCATATTCTAGGTGGCAAACTCAAATAAGACCAGGAGAGGGTCTGAGGGGATGGTTCAGTCAATAAAGTGCTTGCCACAAACATGCGGACACACACACACACACACCACACAAAGTAAAAGTGGAATTGTTGTTTCTCACTCTGGTGGCACTGGCCAGATCCAGCCATGGGAGGCAAGCCCTCACATTTCTGCCTCTGGACACATCCCTGGAAGTGATTTTTGTCTCTTTTTGGGGCCTTTCCATGATGGCGCAACCCAGTCACAGTGTCTCCTGTCCTCCTGGTTCAGCTGCTGCTTACTTCCTTGTACAGAGGAGGAAAGATCATCCCTCCCGCTCTACAAAAGGTCTCTGGACAGATTAAAAACCACTTGAGGATTTATTTTAGCAAGCAGGGCCGCTATATTTAATATCAGTGTTAGAAATCAGATAACAAAGGAGTCAAGGAATCCTGGTCTAAATCTGGGAGATGGGAAGATGAGGGGCCTGGAAGTATTCAAGTGCTCAATGTTTGAGTGCGAGAAAAGAAAGCTATCTATTGAAAAATGACTCTCAAGTTTCTTGATTTCACATCCCAAGAATTTATTTCCTTTCATTAAAAACAAGGTATGGTGGTAAATTCTGTATTATTTAAATTTTATCACGATAATATTTCTTTTAAACATCCATTTATTGGGGGTTAAGAGCACTTGGCTGCTGGTGTGAGATCCAGGCTCAATTCCAGAACCCAGATGGCGGCTCCAGTCCCAGGGGGCCTATCATCCTCTTCTGGTCTCCTCTGGCACCAGGTGCACACATGGTACATAGACATATTTTCAGCAAAACACCCAGACAGATACATTTTTAAAGTAAATTAATTCATTATTTGTGTGTGTGTGTGTGTGTGTGTGTGTGTGTGTGTGTGTGTGTGTGTGCCTGTCTAAGGGCACATGTGGAGATCAGAGGGCAATGTTGGGTGTCCTTTGTAATCTCTCTCCACCTTGTTTTTCGAGAAAGGATCTCTGGTAGCTGTAGAGAGGGCTTAGCAGTTAAGGACTCTGGCTGCTCTTCCAGAGAACCCGGATTCAATTCCTGGCACCCACATGGTAACTCACAGTTGTCTGGAATTCCAGTTCCGAGTCTTCTGATGCCCTCACACAGACATCCATGCAGGCAAATCACCAGTCAACATAAAATAAAAATAAATTATATATTAGAAAATATCTCTCACTGAACCTGGAGCTAATCTGACTGCCCAGCAAGCTGCCTGGACTCTCCAGATTCTGCTGCATGGAGCCAGAATTTCCTCCACTAAACTGTCTCTCTAACCTCCATGATCATTCTATTAAAGGGAAAATAAAGCTGGACCCCAAGAGGAGGCAGCTTATCCACAGTTGCCAAGCTGCCATCTTTTAACCCATACCCAGTTCCTTTTCTTCTTCTTCTTCTTCTTCTTCTTCTTCTTCTTCTTCTTCTTCTTCTTCTTCTTCTTCTTCTTCTTCTTCTTCTTCTTCTTCTCCTTCTCCTCCTCCTCCTCCTCCTCCTCCCCCCCCCCCCCCTCTCTCTCTCTCTCTCTCTCTCTCTCTCTCTCTCTCTCTCGTTTTGCTTTTCAAGACAAGGCTTCTCTATATAATAGCCCTGTCCTGGAACTAGCTCTTGTAGACCAGGCTGGCCTCAAACTCACAGAGATTCACTGTCTCTGCTTCCCGAGTACTAAGATTAAAGGTGTGCATCACCACCACCTGGCCCTCCACTCAGTTTCTAAGCCACACAATTTGAAGAAGGACCTCACTCTTCCATGTTCTGTGTATTGATTTGCTTCCATAACAGTTGCACTGTCCCAACCCCCAAGCAGGCTGGTAAGTGAGAGGTAGGGACAGACACTTCCTACCCTGGATACTTGAAGGAAATTTGCATACCTAATTTGCAGTAAAGATTAGATTGTCCACATTTGACTGTACAAACGCTCCTTGCTGTCTTTCCTCAGGAAGAATTCTTTTATCCTTCCATTGTCAAACTAGAGCTGGATTCTCTGCTTGAATAAGAAGCTGAAGCTCTGTGAAATTTAACAACTAGATCCTGGCATCAATCAAATACGTGGGATAAAAGAAGCCTTGAGGGAAATGTCGTGGAACCCAAGCTTCTACCCTCCAAAGGTCTTTCCCAGCTTGGAGTACTGATGGTGATCTCCGTCTCTGTGTGGCTGCTCTTCCATGCATTCGCTCATCCAGTCCCTTGTATTCCCATCAGGTCAAGCCTGACCGCTTTCTTCCCTTCCCTACTGCTGTCTGCACTCTTTCGTATCACGAGAGCTGCCATGACAGGTCCGGAGAGCTATCTAGCTACTCTTACCTTCTAGATTATGTCTTTGAGGGAAAGATCCATTGTGCTTTATACTTGTATAAATATAGATATTTGGATAACTCTTGGGTGTTGTAGAAAGACACAGAAAAGAGCAACTACTTCCGGCTCCTACATGGATGAAAGACCCAAAACATTTCAACTTGCACCCGCCTCCGAGTTAACCCAGCAGGGATTGTTTCTCTCAATATGAACACTTGATAAACTGGGCTCACCCAACACAGTGACTGAATAAGCCTCTTGTATAGAGAATATTGAAATCCAAACACCAATATTATCATTGCTGTGCCTGGGTGGGAGGAGCAAGGTGAATGTCCTAGCAGCGCCACCCACCCTCCATGTAATTCATGTACTTTTAGTTTGAAGTGACGGCCCACACATGCATAAGAACTTAATCTTCCTGAAAACCAATTCTTTTTAATTTTTTTTTATTTTATGTACTTTGGTGTCTTGCCTGCATGTATGTCTGTGAGAAGGTGTCAGTTCTTGAAGCTGCAGACAGCTGTGAGCTGCCACGTGGGTCCTGGGATTTGAACCCAGGTCCTCTGGAAGAGCAGCTAGTGCTCTTAACTGTTCAGTCGTTTCTCCAGCCCCCTGCAAACCAATTCTTACCCACATGTTTATATTTCGAAGATAACGGGAGAGAGCGGAGCTGTGCAGGTCCGAACTGTGACAGCCTGGTCCTCCGTTCAGCGTCTCCTCACTCTGGAAGGAGTTTGAGCACAGCACATGGAAATGCTTAGAGTCCAGACATTCATGGTGAAAATCCCTGGAAAATGTGCTTGCGCAGCGCCACGGGTCCAGGAAAACCCCACATGGGCTCCCCAAGGTCTGTGGATGTTTATGTTCCGCTGCCCCAGCCTCCAGCCCCCACACCTCGGGAATGGGGAACTTTGTCCCCGAAGGATTGCACCACGGGCACCCAGCCTTTCCACTTTCACTTCTCCACCGGCTTCCCGACCGGCTTCCCGTCCTCACAGGATCTGCTTCACTGGGCCTCTTTGGGCCCAAAACCATTTAATTGCTAGGGAGTTACATGCTATGAACAAGAGTTTGTGAGTTACAAGCAGACCACCCAGATTCGGGTCCCGATTCAGCACCTGCCAGAATGTAGGGCCCTGGGAAATTCATCTCATTTGTGATAAAGGGACAATGACAGACACAGTGAAATAGGACAGTGACAACCCTCTCTTATAATTGGAGCCTGGGGGAGAGTAAATGGTAGGTAACTAAATGCTTGATGTCTTCTGATAGACAGGCTGTCTGCTTGTCTGAGGCAGAACGGCAACCAAAGCAGGATCAATCCTTGGCTTCTAAGTCTCTGGCCCCCTGAGCAGTCTCTGGCTTCCAGTAGCATGCTGTCTCTGTCTTCACACTTTATTCCTGTGCAGGTGTGAGTTGTGATGATTGCAGGACACCTGGGTGTCGATGCCTGCCCTCCGCTCTCCGCTGTTAGCCTTCCTGCTCACCCTCCTGCTCCTGGCCTTTAACTCAGCTTCCTCGAACATTCTAGAAATGCCAGCATTTGTTTAATCCTGTTTTTCCAAAAGATGTTTTGCTTTTTGTTTCTTGCAGTTCGTTTAGCCTGACCTCTTCTGCTTCTGCCAGGAAAATCCAGATGAGGTTTTCATTAGTACAAACACAGCTGGCAACCTAATTACCATGACTGAGTGCAAAGTGAAAGTATGGACCCCCCCCACCACACACACTAAATCTACATCTGTCACACACATTGAATCCTGATGCTGAGAAAAATGTCAGCACTTAGTGTCGAGGTGAGACGCTTGATTTTACACATTGATCCTTAGCTTCTCTGCATGACAACGGGAGGGACAGAAGCTGTGTGCGTCCCTCTGACACTTATTTACTTACTTCTTCTAGAGAAAATCATTGTAAGCAAAAGACAAGAGGGTCAGTCAGGTCTGCAGAGATGAGAGAACCGAACCCGTGGCAGATGCCTATAGATTGGAGGAGGAGATAATGCAAACCATTCCCTCGGATTCCCCTAGGACACATACTTCATTTAATAAGCACGGCAGGATCATGCCTTTCAGCTGCTATCAGTCTCACATAGTGCATCTTTATTCCTAGGTGTGAGGAAAGCTAACTGTTTCTTTGACAGTCCTCTTTAGAAGCGCAGTATGAATAGTCTCTCAGGAACCAGCTCATTTTTCTGCTCTCTTAATGCTAATAGTTCTGGAAGCAGAGACTGAGATATACTTTCTTTTTAAAATATGAAAACATTTATTTGCATTTTATGAGCATTAGGTGTCTTTCTGCATGTGTACCACATGCAGGCCATGTCCGAGGAAGCCAGAAGAAGGTGTTTGATCCCCTAGGAGTGACTTACAGACGTCTGTGAACTATGATGTCAGTGCTACAAATTGAACCCAGGTTCCCTGGAAGATTAGTGGGTGCTCTTAACCACAGACCCAGCTCTTCAGCCCCAAGATCTAAGTCCTGAGAGATGAAGGAAAATAGAGAAAAAGGACCAGGGAAAGGTGCATCAAAACTGGTGGTCAATTGGAGATTAGTCTTGCAGGAAACCTGAGCTACAATGCAAAATGTACAAAATTATCTTCCCAGAGTGCTCAAGAGGTTGGGGCATGTAGGCCCAAACCCTCATCAGTCACTGATTTGAAAGCTGCAGAGGAGAGAGAAGAGTAAAGCTCTCTGTGTATTCTGGTACAGTGATCAGGAACACTCAGGGCCAGTTAGTATCTGCAGAACAAAATCTAAAAGATAACTTCAAGGCAGGCAGTGCAGTGTCCAAGATCAGCATTATTAATTATAAGATGGTTTTGGGCAAGTTAATATCTAACTTTCAGATTTCCATCGATAAAGCAGAAATTGTCCCTTTATAGTTAGTAGGAATGTATGAATTATCAAACATAGAGCCTGGCCCACGACAGGCACAACCAAAAGCTTTCTTTACACAAAATCCCCATTAAATTATTTTATTTTTAAAACACAAGTTTCTGAAATGTAAATAGTCATAGGAATAACCTACAGATTGTACCAGAGTTCAAATTAATTCTATGTACCTGGGCAGGGCATGGGAAATGTCTATGTAACAAGCTCCCAGATAACATGGATGCTGTTGGCCCATGGTCCATACTTTGTGAAATAATATTTCAAGCCATTTTTTAAAAAAAGATTTGTCATTAGCCACTATAGACAATAAATCATAAGATATTTTCTCCAGATCTGTTGGACCTAATCATTACACACACACACACACACACACACACACACACACACACACACACAAGTCTGAGCATAGCTGCAAGAGCTGTTAACCTTATATGGAACTTACCCAGTTTGTGTTAATCGCCCCTAATAAACTTAACTGCCTACGGTTCCCAGGGCACAGTTACACAAGAGAGAAAGTACAAAATGAAAAATATATAGGATAGATAAGGATGTCAGCATCATGGGAGACCTAAGAAAAGATAAAAACTTGCATCATTATTAGAGAATGCGGAAATATCAGAGAGCGAAGGGGCTTGTTTCTAAGAAATCTATGACATGGACACAAATCACTTTCCTTGTAGTTATCTCTCATGCCCAGCGTGTTATGTCGAACAGCAATGTAAAGTGCTCAGTGGGCCCAATCTGCTTCGGAGGCCAGACACATGCAGGAAGATGTTAAACTGCAAAGATGTTATTAGATAGCTCTCGTCTGTATGGTAAAGCTTTGAAGGGTCAAAGAGATTGTTCCAGCCTGTTCTTTTAGGAGAAATACAGCAAAGTGAGTCTTCAGTTGAGCCATGGGAGCAGGGCTGTGCCTTGAGTTTGAATATGGTGCAAATGTATACACAATAGTATGACAACCTGAGTAAAAATTTCTATAAAATATTCCCCAGCCTATACTGTAATAGCCTGTTTCCGAGATTCTCCCTGACCATGGCATAGAAACACCTTAAATTTTCTCCCAGAGCCAGAGACAGAAGCCAGGGCCTTGCAAACGTTAGCAAAGACTCTGCCACAGACCCAGGGCAATGATTTCTAGTCTCTCCAGCATCCTGCTTCAGTTGGTTTTCACTATCTACCCATTTGTGGAGACACATGGTGTCTCAGCAATAACATTCAGTAAGGAGCTGAGCCCATAGAGAAACTCTTCATAGGATGGATGGGAGACTACAGCTCTAAGCAGCTGACACCTGGAGACCTGCTGGTGCTGGCCTGGGGTATCAGCACAGGTTGGGGAGCAAGCTTTCAAGCTGAATCAGATGTATAGAGAGCAGACTCAAATGTGCTCCCTAGTTTCAAGGTGAAGAATTTTGAACTTGAAACCATAAAAAAGCCACAGTACTTTAGAAACTGTGTAAAATTCGTCTGGCAATTTCTCATGGATTTGTTGCGTAACTGGTCTGAAGTATCAGAATAAACACATATTTCACAATTGTAAAAAAAATAAATTTCTTTCAAAAAAGCATTGTTCAGGCATTTGTGTTGCCAGTAATAGAGACTTAAAGAGGCAATGACAAACAGAGTCATCGCTGAAAAGATGGCATTCGGAACAGGATCAGGGTTCAGGAACAGGTTGGTGTGGAATTAGCTGGGTGGTTGGGAAACACTAGTCATCCTGAATCTGCATTTCCTTTTTAAGAGCTTGCTCAGATTACTGAATAGAACCGAAGTGATGATTAAGTCAAGACGATAATCTCTGTATATTCCTTAGCACAGGAATAAACATACTGCATTTGATAAAGAGCTTACCCAAATCAAAGGAGAAGGCGGGAAGAAAAAGGTGAGGAGGGAGGACAGGAAGAGGGAAGAGCGAAGTGGGGGAAGGAGAGCTTCTGGAAGTCCTGGATCCAACAGAGCAGAGCATATTGTTGGGAAACGGAACTTGGAAGACTCTTCTAGGATACTTGACTTAAAACCCAAGCAAGGATGCCAGGACATGATGCAAACACACGTACTGTGCCTTTTAGCGTAGAAAGAGCAATCAAAGAGCAATCCTCACACTGGTGGGGGAAGTGCCCGAGTTTCCGTGGCAGATGGCAGATGAAAAGAATAAATCAGTGTGGCATATATATGTTAGCGTGGGCGCAGTATGTAATGTTAGCGTGGGCGCAGTATGTAATGTTAGCGTGGGCGCAGTATGTAATGTTAGCGTGGGCGCAGTATGTAATGTTAGCGTGGGCACAGTATGTAAATCCCAGAAGGCATCTCTGCTCCAGAAGAGACACCGGTTACTGAAGCGGGAAGAGCTGCCCTGGAGGGAAGGACACCAGCAGCAGTAAGAACTTCAGTGGTGGTCGGTAAGAGGTGCTGGTGCAGAACTAGGCTCATCGACGACAGGACTCTGCATCCCAACACACACTTACAATAGGGGTAGATGGTGACTCTTCCTTAGAAGTCAGGGAGATGCAGCTCTCTTCGTATTTGACAAGGATGAAGGGTAACAGACGGGTCTGATTTACAGAGAACTGCGGCGCTGGCCATAGAAAACAGTGTCCTTTGAGTAGGTGCTTAGAGCAGCCAGCAGGTTGCTGTTCTGTGGAGAATCAGAGGTGGGATGACTCACAGGCCGGCAGCTGCCACTCTCCTGTCATGACTCAGTGCCTGGTTCCAGACTTAAACGATTGCTTTAGGCCTAGAACCTGAGAGCCGAAGGGGCCAAGTTCCTGAGACCATACAGTCGCACGGTTTCCTCCCCAGGCATTTACACAGACAAATACACACTGTGAAAAGGGTAGGCATTACCAGATAGTGTGGGAGTTAGCATTTACGCTGAGACCCAATGCATCATGCTGGTCACACTAGAGAAGCTGTACAAGGAAGGCAAGCTATTTTTATAAGTGATTTCAATAGATAAATCCAGTCTTATTGGGGTTAAATATTTGCACAAAAAAGCTTACTCATTTAAAATGGACAGTTTTTTCTACAGAGCTACAGTACTGAAAACAGCCTGATACTGGCATAAAAATAGACAAGAGGACTAATGGAACCGAATCGAAGACCCAGCTATTAATCCACATACCTACAAACACCTGATCTTTGACAAAGAAGCAAAAAATACAAAACGGGAAAAATAAAGCATATTTAACAAATGGTGTGTAATCTTGGCTGGCCTCTAGTCCCCTGTGTAACCAACAATAATGATGGCCATGGGCTGCCAGTCCTCTTGCCTGCTCCCCGAACGCTGGGATTGCAGGTGTCCACTGCCTGTAGTACCTACAGTCTATACGGAAGACTGTGCTGCATTTTCA